CTGATGGCGCCAGTGATTATGCTGACTATATTGGTGGCTGCAGAAGATAGTTGTGGCGGCGGCGTTGAATATACGCCAATTGAAGGAGAACTTACAACCCCAAGTTGATGGGACAAGCAGGTAGTTTGAACGGAAAGTCCACGATCAACACGGGCTTCGGAAGAGGCGTGCCGTTGTCGGAAGCCAGAATCCCCTGGGTATTGGCTCCCAGAGGGCTCATTGGGGGCCTGGGGAAAAGAATGGTTACGTTGTGTTTGAAGCTGATCATGGAAATGGCAGCTAAGATAATTTCGTTCGTGAGGCTTGTGTTCCCTGGAAAAGAGAGGTGAAGAGCGTCCTGTCGGCGGCCTATGCTCCCAGATGCGAGATAAGAAAGAAGGATGAGGAGGAAGTGAAGTGTCAAGTAGTTGGATGGGCCCTGGAACTTTGTCTAGAGAAGGGAGACCTGGTGGAGGTAAATTAAGAGGAAGAGGTAAAGGTAGGGGCAATGATGGTTGAGGCGGTGGTGGTGGGGGTGGAGGTGGAGGAACCTGAAGAAGAGAGGGCGGAATGGAGAGCGATGGAGGTGGGGGAGGAGGAGGAGGGGGAGGAAGGGGCAAAGGTAGAGAGAGAGAAGGTGGATGAGTGATAGGCAGAGGTGGTGGTGGAGAAGAGGAGTTAGGCAAAGAGATGCTGTGGAGGAGAGTGACATCTCGATAAGAGGGTGGCGGCAGAGAAGAAAAAATAGTCGACTTGCTAGGCAAACAAGAGCCCGATGAGACATGCTGTGTTCGATGGCTAAACCCAGGACTCGATAGTATGGGCCCAGAATTGGGGCTAAGCTTTGAGGCAAGTGGAGTGCCAGGGTTGAGGCAGGGAGGAATATTTATCCCAGAAGAGACTGATGGCTCAAATGGGAGTCTGGTGCGGATCTGGTCGCACTAAAATGTGAAAATGTGTGTAGGAAAAGTAGAAAATTATTTCATCTGTTAAATTGTTAAAACTGGTGGTTTATAAAAAAGTAAGGCAACGTAAGAGATTTTGAGTCCACAGCCTACTAAATTAGGGCGAATAAACTTTTTTAGGCAGTGTGGAGTTAAGAATGCATAATATCAAAATAACTTGAGTAAATTATGCAAAAATATCGCATTTATAGAACATAAAGGTTTACTGAAAAAGACCTTCGATAAACTCCATATGCTTTTGTATTCAATTCTTATCTAACAAATTATGCATAGTAAAAGCAGCGCACACAAACAAAATAGGATTCAAACGCCCATTATTTACTTATTAGAAAAGTCCCTGAGCCTTGAATGAATCTTTAATGTGGGTTCGGCGTTCATTGATGGTCGAGCAAGAAAACGACAATTTCGGATATAGACACTAATAATCTAATATATCATGCATATCGTAAATCGATATTCTAAAAAAGTGAATTACAGTACTATAGGTTTTTATATTTAACTGAATATTTTATGTATATGTACATTGGGGTGAGATGGCGAGGCATAGATATTAAGGGGTTAATTATTTATTAATAATATAAAGTCTTAGAGAATTTTGACCCAAAATGATGCTTAGCAAGAATACAGAGCAAAAAACATGCCGAAAAATCGCAAAAATAAGGCCAATTGTAGGAATGTATTGCAAGAAATGTATTCGGCTTATTTGCAAAATAAGAATTTAATTCAATCATAAAAAACGGTTAAATAAATGAGGAATTCGAACTAGAGACAAATCATATAATCCCTTCATTTAGTTTTATTTCTCTAAATTTGATTAATGAAAATGATTTTTATCACTAAAACTTATAGAATATTCAAATGGTTTTAAAACAACACTCACCTGGTGTGGCTGAGAAAGAAGAGGTTGATTGCCTCCTTTGGCCGCACCATCTAACATTCTAAGTGAGCAAAAGTATGGCTGGGACATATTAATGCCAGTAGAGAGAACCGATGTCTGCTGTGGGGTTTGCTTTTGCTGTTGTGGTTGTGGTTGAAACTGCTGCAGCTGTTGGTGCTGAGGAGGTAAAGAAGTGTTTAAGGGGGGAAGTGGAAGATGAGGAGGGCGTGTAGATTGAGGCGATGGTTGAAGTAGCTGTGGAGGTGGAATAGAATGCGTTGCAACCAGGAGATGAGGATGATGTTGGTGCTGCTGATTGTGGTGATGATGTGGAATCGGTAATCGCCAGCGCTGTTTTGCAAGTTGGTGTTGCAGAGTAGTGCGCTCCTGCCATGCCTGAATCTCCTTGTCTCGGCGAATAAAATAGTCGCGCGCAGAGTGGGGCGCACTGGCAGTCAGCGAAAGCGGTGATGACTGCTTTACGTCTGGTTCGCTGTTTGGGCCGACCACAATGGCAGAAGAGCACAAGGGTGGGGGGGGCGGAGGAGGAGGGAGGAGGAGAGATGAAGTGGGTAGTGGTGGTGGTGGAGGGGGTATTGAAGCTAATGGGAGCTGTAAAGGCATTGACATCAGTTTATCAGAGAAATTCGTCCCTGAGTGAAGCTTTACAGCAGATAATTCTCGTGATCGTAGTGATGATTTAGAAGACCTCGTGATAGTTGTTCCGGGGACAAAAGTTGATCCGAAGTCACAACCAAGTCGAGCAGCAGGACTATTGGACGCCTCTGAAACAGGCGAGGGTGGTGAACTACCGTGACTACTTGGAAGTTGAAGTTTGCCTCCAATAATCGCTTCGTCCATAACAGGCTCTAGGGCGCCGCGCCAACTGCCTAAAGCTAGTGCGGAAGAACAAGTAGAGGGAGGCCGTATGTCGGATGCCGAGTCTCGCTGAAAGATAAAATAGAAATAGCAAAACTATAAAATGATCAGGTTACACATTTGAGGAATCCCGATGAGCCCTTAATGAACTTATTTCATGGACAGACAAATTCTTCTATTAGTCTGTCCCTCGCCTCAATGGAAATTGCTAATAAGCTTTGATCTACCTTTCACGCCAAATCAGCAGCTCTAATATTGATTCGACTCCTTAGGGGCTGTGCGACAGAATTCATTATTATCCCTTGAGTTTAGCCTTACTGTCTAGTAATATCCACTCTGATCGTGAGGATTCACATACAGCTTACTATGCATTTGCGCTTATGACCAAATAACTAGACATGATCTTGCGGTAATCCGGGAGGCTTTGAGATGCCAGGATTTGATTAGTCGACGTGAAATGAAGTAAGGATTAGTTATATTCTATGGTCTTTGTGTCAAAGAACGGTGGAGTCGCGGCTAAGTACATAATGTACCAAAACTAACCATCGTAGTTCAAAAGTGTAGGGATAGTTCACTACAATATCACTAGTTTCTGATCAACAAGACTGAAAAAAATAGACTTGGAAAACCTAATGTGTTAATAGTGGGGCTGAAAGATATCAGACACGATAGAGGCTCGGCAATAAAACTAGTTTACTTAGCTAATAAGCAAATATGAAAATCTTGAAAATAGCCATAAAACGGAAATTAGTTTTGAGATTAACGATCCCGTTAGAATCAGAACTAAGGTTCCCTCCTGTGTGTCAACTCGAGTGTAAATAATATTATTGAGTTATGATGATACTAATAGAGAGATATAGAGCACTTTAATGAGAAAGTGGCGATGTCAATACACTAAATATCGTGTTTAAAGTTTGACGGATTAATGAAACAACCACAAATCATTCATTTAAAAAGAATAAACATAGATGACACAATTGGAATAAGCTAGCCAGACGACTCCTCTGAATATCGAAAATACTTATAAATGTCATAAGTTTGTTAAGTGCCTATAGAGATAAGAGTTTCTGGGAAATTGGCAAATAAGCAAGTAAAAGCAAATGTTGTCTGCGTTAAAAGCTGCGCCAAATAGCTTACCGGACTTCTGGGCCTTGATGGACCATTTGACTGACCAGATTCCTCCGCACGATACTTGGTGCTTCGTCTCTCATCATATTCAAATGCTGATAGCCCATTAGGCGGATAGAATGCATCTCGATCTCGCTTTTTTGCAGTCGCAACTAATCCAGTCAAATCAGTTTCGATACCAGCTATTGCTACAGGTCGTGGGCTATCTGAGACTAAGGTTGTACCGAAAGAAGTTTCAATAGTTTTCGAAGGAACATAGGTGTTAGATTCCTTTACGATACGATTATGTCGAGCGCTCTTAACTCCATTAATTATAATCGCTTCTTCATCGTCGTCATCGGCTTCTTCTTGGTCAGACGGCTCGCTAGGCGTCCTGGGCCCCCGCTCGTTAGGATCTATGGCTGCTGAACTGACACAACCAGTATCTAGAAGTTCGGGGCGATCGTGAGTCAGCTTTACATCAAGTTCAGTGCTGATACGAATGAGCATGTCAGAGGTAACAAGACCTGATTTGCCTCCAGGAAGTGAAGCCCATGACGATGAGGAGGAAGACGAAGAAGACGAAGAGTTTGCAGCAGCTCTGGTTGCTGGAGGCTGTTGAGGACAAGGCGGCGGATCTTGGGCTGATGACACCGCTGTTTCGAGAATCGGCAAACATGATTGCGGTGAAGAATGAGATATCATGGCTATTGGGCATGGCAACGCTTCAAGTTCCAGCTCTGATAAGGATTCAGATGTGCGGGACCTAAGTACAGACGTGGGGCGGCCAAGCTCCCCACGCAACAAACTGCCATGTGGAGAGGACTGATCGGTTTCGAGTTGATCTGAGACAAGAAAGAGGCCGACCGATGACTGGGGAGGTTGAAGATTGAAAGTATCAAGAGGAGTGGATCTCGGTAACTGTGGGCTATGAATAGCATCTATTTTAGCATGCCCTTCTGCCCCAAGTGAGAGTGTTGCAGATGATGCCAGAGTCATCAAACCATAAGGATTTTTTTTATTAAGTCGAGGCAAACAGTCAAGCGTGATTTTGGATTCATCCGCCTCAAATCGGAAAAGATCGACGTTGAGACTGGACAAGAGATGAGAGCGATTGGACATATTGCTGCATGTATTGGTTATTCCAGTGGCCGAAGGTAGAGATGCTAGCCCACGACGCCTACGATATTCATGCAAAGAGACACGAACCTTGCGCATTTCTTGAAGGCGCTGTTCTTCTTGCTGCCTTTTCAATGTTGCCTTTTTTGGGGGCAGTTTCTATATGGATACAATTTTAAAAATAGTAAACAAAACTTTAATTTACCAGATTATGTCATTTCAATAAGTTGCCTACCTAACTAAATAGTAAAATAACTAAAAAATATCAAATTAGCCATGCAAAGATCAAGCCAAGTAAATACTATTCCTAGCTCTTTCTAGTTGATTGCTTCTATTGAATGCATTATGATAGAGAATTCTTAGGCAAGGTCATAAGTTAAATCCCATCTCCTAACGTCAAAATTTATGGTGAGCTTCGTTCTGGGTCTTTTGAAACCGGCAGTCCGCTAACGGCAAGTCGCCTGGTAATATAATAATATGTGAACAGCTATCATGAGGTACATCTTTATCTCAGACATAAGACAGATTTACTTAAGGAAATGGCTTAATTGAACAGCCTTAGCGCATGTCGTCAGTAAACTGTCTTAAGTTGGGCCACACTTATAAATCGTTTCATTTGCAATCTTGAGCCAGGCCGTCTGCTTCATTGCCGTCATCGCCACAAAATGGATCTAGTTCACTTTTGGTCTATGCCTTGATCACAAACTTTCAACTAGTCAACCAAGTATGACCAAGAGATGGAATAAGTTGATGCGATCAAAATAAATTAGAATCTATTGTATTAGAAAGCCTTATATGTTAAATAGAAGTTGTTTGACCTTATTTTCGCAACTTGGTCATATTGGTAGGAAAACTTAGAGGAACGAAACTAGTCCGGAGTCCATTGTATGCATCATCATTTCCAAAGTTGAACCGTGGACGAGGTACATTTACAG